TTTTTTTTTTTTTTTTTTTTTTTTTTTTTTTTTTTTTAAATGTGTTTTAGATGTTCAAATTACATATCAGAAAATCTCTTGAGGATAATTTTGTCTTTTTAATGATCTCTCTGTCACTCTAATTTATTTTTTATTTTTTATTTTTTTAAAGGAACAGCGGATTGATTTTATTATTTGGATAAGCAAAGCATCAGCTCTTACAAGAAACATAATGAGATACTATCAATCCACAACGAAGACACAGAATGTCAAAAAGCATAATAAGCCAAATAGTGGGCTACACGGTTGCGTTCACGCGGGATGTAGCAAACACTTCCACTATGAGCTAGACTCATAAAATTCGTGATATAACAAATGTTATTAGCTTCTGGAGATCATGGTGCGGAAACTTGAACGGCACGAATCACATTGATCGCATCCGTTTCAAGAGACTAATTTGTAAAACAGCACGAACCTCCGGCATAATCCCTTTGACATACCTTTAAACATTGAGCCAAATGAGCATCCAGCTGTCCCTGTATTTTCTTAGCCAAGGCACTCAAGACACCCATCTGAGTTTCGCACAACTGCACCAAGACCTACCCAATCAGTAATCACCACTAAGTTTAACTGAAGCATCCAACTTTCCAAGGGCTGGACTGACATTGCTGCGTGTTAGTTGGGCGTTTCTCAACCTCCCAATAGCTCTGCGTTAGTTTATCAATTCATTTTAAAAGTTTAAGTTATTAGGAGGTGTACCAGCAATAATTGTAAATTAATTAAAAATGCCAATACGTTTAAATTTAAGTATAAGATATATTAAATACTCAATATATGATGACAATTTAAATGAGGATACATAGTGCAATTACAGGAGTTTGAATTCAAGATTTCCTACTATGATATCATGTTAGTTTATCAATCAATCTTAAAAACTTAAACTAGTAGGAAGTAGGCTAACAATAATTTATACTTTTAACCCTATGAAACTCACCTAGCAGGCTCCCAGCTCGACTGACACGCACAAATGGTGTATCAAACTGCTGTTCGAAAATAGCAAGATCAAGTGACGTCCATATATAGGCTCCATAGCAGCATGTAAAACACCTCCAATTCCTCATTATTGCCTTCACGTGTACAGTGCAAGCAAAGAGCACTTAGAGGACCCCCTTAAAACGGTGAATCAGTGGCCAAAAATGGAGCTGTTGTACTATATCTCTTGCGCTCAGCCACACTGAAGAAAAACATGGGTGACACTTTCCTTCTCCTCACCACAGCGAACACACATTAGCCTCAGGACATTCAACTCCTCCACTTTACAGACGGGACAGTGTTGGGGTTGCTCCATGAAAAGCCCTCCAAGCATGAAATTTTTTTATTTTTTTTATATAGGAATTTGGGCTTTCCATAGCGCCTTGCACCATTTCTTTTCTAGCTCCATTGCTGAGCTACTACCCTTGCTTCGAGAATCCAGTTCAAATTTATATCCGGACTCAACTGAGTACTCTCCCCTTGCTATCATAATGCCACACCAATATGTCCTCACCTCCCTAAGCTTTCCAGTGGAATTCCATAAATTGCCTCACGATCAATGGGCCAGAAAAGAGATTCCACAACATTCCGATCCCATGCTCCAGTAGAAATAAGAGAAGAAACTTGCATATCTTCCATGTTTGGACTCAGGATTTTGTGATGGGACCCCATAAGAGTGTCGGCCTCGGGATCCATTGTCTTTAAAAACACGCACGGGCTCACCATTCCCAATCCGCCAACGAGTTCCTTTCTGCAATAGACGACGACCCCAAGCAATACCTCGCATCAAAAAGGTCCGACAAGTGGAATCCTTCCTCTATTGTTGTTATCCATCTTCATATAATATGCATGGCATACATCTCTATTCCTTTCTATTGAAGAACGTGGCGAGGCCTGATGTTAATTCTAATTACCAAATTACCAATTATTTGCTAAGCAAAAAAGTAAAAAAACAAACCGATCATTTGATTAGTAAAAAGAAAAAAACATTTAATTTTTATACCGTGGGATTCTATGACTTTCACTGTATGCAAAATGATAATAATAATATTAATACTAAAATCATCAAAATTTAAATTTTAAATTTTATTAAGTAAATTTTTTTTAAAATAATCATATTTAATTTTTTTTATTACAGTAAAATTTTTTTATATAAAATTATATTTTAATTTAAATTAATGAACTGAATCAACTCTTAAATTCTAACATGGGAGGATATTTTTGCATCCCGAAGTGAAGCATCTGGTGGATATATTGCCAGTCCAGTGTGACGTGTCACTTGTAGAACTCACGAGCGTGCCAGAAATGGAGCAGGTGTGTGCTTGCATGCTCACCACTTGGTCGGTCATGACCTCTATTCTTCTAATTCTACTTGGACATCTATTATTATAATAAAATAATTCTAATAATTCTAAATATTTTAAAGAAGACTCTTTTACTATTTACTTTTATAGTGTTATAAATAGTGAATTTTTTTAAAAATTTTTTATAAATGTGTATTTACCGATTTAACTTTTCATATTTGCTTAATATGTAAGAGACTCTTTTGCTATTCACTGTACAGTATTATTATGAATAATAAACTTCCTCTTTTAACCTCATGAATGTGTATTTACCGATTTGACCTTTCACGTTTGCTTAATACATCCTTCTTGAGCTGGTTTTTGCGTCTTTCTCTTTCATTTTTTTAAGAAAAAAATTTCTTTTTTTGGGAAATAGGGTAACAGTTGGAATAGTATATTTCTTCTCTCATTTTCTTTCACCGCCTACAGTTCTCATTACTTCCTTCTCCTCTGAAAGCTTTCTTCCATTAGAAATTTTTTATCTCTTTGTTTTGTTATTAGCCTAACTTTTTTTTACGATCTGATTTCTTTTTTCACTGCTTCTTCTCTCTGTTTTTTTTTCCTTTTGTGTGTTTTTTTTATCTGATTTTGCTGCTTTGATTTTTTCTCTACTTATTTTGACGTTTTTTTATCTGATTTCTTTTTTTCACTGCTTCTTCTCTCTGTTTTTTTTTTTTTTTCCTTTTGGTGGTGTTTTTTTTTTGGATTTTGTAGATTTGATTTTTTTCCTAATTATTCTGACCTTTTTTTGGATCCTATTTCTACTTTCAGTGCTTTTTCTGTCTGTTTTTTTCTTTTCGTTTTGGGTTTTTTTTGGATAATGTTGGTTTGTTCTTTTTCGTACTGATTTCGTTCTTCTTTCTTTGCTAGTTTGCTTCTTTTTTTTTTCTATTTATTTCGTCATTTTTTTTGGATTCTATTTCTATTTTAACTGCTTCTTCTGTTTGATTTTTTCTTTTTGTTTTGGGTTTTTTTTATGCTGTTGTTTTGATATTTTTCGCATTGATTTCGTTCTTCTTTTTGCATATATTATTTCCAAGGCTTTTGCGTTATTTTTTCTCTCCAAATATGGTTTTAGGTATCGTTTATTTCACCGATTCGAATTTTCAGTTTTAAGTTTTTAAGTAAAAAATTTTTAAAAAATATTACATCAATTTTTTTTGTTACAGTGAAAAATTCTCAAAAAATGTCATATCTCAATTCGAATTAAAAATTCAAATTCACGAAGTGAATGAGGCCTAAAATCTGTTGTTTTTTCCTTTCATAATTTTTTTTGTCGAATTTTGTTTTTCTTTTTATGTTTTCTTCGATGCTAATGGTTTTTTATCTTATGTACTGATTTCGTTATTTCTTCGTTATGATGTTGTGTTCTTTTAGGCTTGTTCTTTTTATGTTTTTAAGTTAGGTAATTTGAGTGTAGATTTTGAGTTGAGTTTGAGTTATAATTTGAGTTGAAATTGTAATTTAAATTTGTGTTTAGTTGTGTACATTTGAGTTATGGTTTGAGATAATAATCTTTTTGAGTTTGTGTTTGAGTGAGTTAAAATTTAAATTTGTATTTAAATAGTATTTTAATAAAAATTCAATGTTGATAAAAAATTTTAATAGGGTATATGGGTTAGGTTTTATTCTTCTTTTCGTTGTTAACGCATAGAAAAAAAATCATCTCAATTAGAATTAAAACGAAAAAGTTATAGTATTTTTAAGATTAGAAAAAATACTGTTCATTAATTTGAGTTTGAGTTTCTGAACTCGAGTTAAAGGAAAATTTAAACTCGAGTTTTAGTTTCAAATTCGAGTTTAAACTTAAAAGAACATGAACTCGAATAAAATTATAACTCGCGTTATTTTTTTTTTTTAGTTTTTCACTCAAAAACACCCCAGCTGAACAGCCCTTTTTCAAATTTATTCATTTTTTTCCGTCTATGCACGTATTTTTCCCTTCCTGCACTAATTTGGTTTCTATTCTCTTCTGTAGAGATATTATTTCTTCTTCGGTTATGCTGTTTCGTTCTCTATTTGTTTCTCATGTCTTTTTTATTTTTTTTTCCATCATTTAGGATTTTTTTTGGATTTTTTAAAAGGGTTTTTTTTTCTTTGGGGTTTTTCTTTAATTTTATTTTAGAATTTTTGTTTGTAATTTTTTTTCTACTAATATTTTGTCCTTTATTATTTATTTCTGTTTTGTTACTTTTTTTTGTTGGTATTTTCTTTCTACAGTTCTCTAATGTATAAATGAGGGCGGTTTATATTGTGTTAGTATTGGTATTAGTGTTATAGTTAGACACGTATATTTCATTTTCATCC